ATACTAGACTTAGAGATTTTATGATAGTTTTTCTTATATTTAGCATGAAGTAGCGAGATTCAAGTATCATGTGTACTACTGAATCAAATCTATCATCCAAAACTATAGTATTTGAAGCTTCATGCGCTACTTAAGTACCTTTTTTGTACATAGATAGAGATATATCTGATCTTTTTAAAGCAGGAGCATCGTTCGTACCATCTCCAACTGCTAATACTACTTCAGAGTTGGACTAAAGGTTTTTTACAATTTAAAATTTTTATTCTGCAGTGACTCTATAAAATGCAAGGTTTTGTTTATTGATATAGAGCTTTTCATTCAGTTTTTGCATTTAGTCTCCACTAATTAGAATACTTTCTGTTTTATTAATTGCATCCTCAATAGAAAGATTAGGGTCTTTTTCCATTAAATCTGAAGTTGATTCAATATTTGAAGGTAAAATATTAATTGCGCGAGCAGTATATTGAGCCGTTAATTGCGAGTCTCCTGTCTGCAATATTGTTCTGATACCAATTTACTTAGCAAATTCTACTACTGATTTGACTTCTGGTTTTATTTAATCTTTTAAACTAAAAAGTCCTTAGAATGTCAGTTTTTCAACAGAAAAAGGTAAATCTGTTCTATCAGCAAATTTAAAGACATGTCCTTTAGGAAATTAGCTTGCTGGAAGATGTAATTTAGCGAAACCTAAAACTCTTTCGCTTTTTTTACCTAGTTATTCCAAACAATTTAAAACATTTTCTTTAAAAGCGCTATCAATTTCTAATTTAGAATTATTTTTCATGTAGAATTAGCAAAGTGAGATAATTTTTTCTGCAGCACCTTCAAAGTAAACAACATAGTGACTATCTTCTACTTCTTCTTCAACAATAGAAAATTTGTATTTGTTAATTGAGTTAAGTTCTAACTTAGCTGCTTTACCTTCTATATTTTTGGCATACTGAATGCTCTTTTTAAAGTTATCAACGTTCTTTATACTATGTAAAAATCTTAAAAGAGCTTAATCACTTACTCCACCAAGCATTTTGCATGTAGAATAATCGACATTATTTTGATCTCCTTCTAAAACGAATTTTGCATTACAAGACAATGCAGCATTTTTATATAGATTTTAGAAATCTTAGTCATCAGGGTTGAAATTTTCACCTTCATCAAAATTATTCTCAGCTGTTTTAAACAAATTTTAACCATAGAAAA